CTACCACATCAACAAAACCCGGGATAGGTTTGTCCCGCGCAGAAGAATGACGTCATTAAAAGTGCTTGGAGTATGTAAATGCGCGCAGTGTCCGCTGGTCTTGCTCACATTGTACATACATTTATTATTATTTTGCAAGTGTTCCGGTATACGAAATGTTTTTGTCAGGATTTTTATAGTTTGGAGAAGTTTTTATTCGTAAGTGAGGGTCTAGAGCTTGCGTGAAGTGAGTGACCGTAAGTGTCAAGTGTTTCGTATCTGAGGGTGAGGTGCCAGGCAGGTGAAGCAACTCATACTTACCTGGCAGGGGAGATACCATGATCACGAAGGTGGTTTTCCCAGGGCGAGGCTTATCCATTGCACTCCGGATGTGCTGACCCCTGCGATTTCCCCAAATGTGGGAAACTCGACTGCATAATTTGTGGTAGTGGGGGACTGCGTTCGCGCTTTCCCCTGATAAGCTTAGTTTAAAAGTAGAAATTTCGGTGTTATTGTTTAACTATTTTAGTAAAGCGTGATAACTGCGTTTAATTTTCTTGTTTTGTTAGGATGTAGTTTTGGGGTGGTTTTCATGGTTTTGTTGTATTCAGAGCGATTTCTCTAAGGAATATCTAGAGTTTTCTGGGACAACTGTGAGAGCTGAGAGTTGTATGTATGTCGTAGAACAAAGGACTTTAAAATTTCGATTTTGATTTCAAGTTGTGCGATGATGTTTGTTAATTCAGCGTTTATCGTTCTTGCAGAATGCTGGTGTTCCATCGAGGGGAAAACGATCAAATTTACGGCAGTGAGATGTGTTTGTAGGGGGAATTTAGAGTGAGTTACCTCACTATGTACTCTACAGACGGCATTTTTAAAGAGTAGGATGACTGAAGAAGAAAGAAGGGAGTAAGACTAAAAACATTCAGGGAGTGGTTGTTAGCATGTAAATGATTAGTCCAGTCGAAAGGCAAGTTCTCAGCAATGTGCATGTTCTCCAGCTTTAGGAAAAAAAAGTAAAAAACGTATGAAACTGAAGCGGGTCTGCGGTTTTAAATTTACCTGTATTATTTTAAACATTTTATGTCAAAATGTAGTCATCATGTATTGGTGTAAATGCAATTAAATAAAAAGTTTTAAAAGGTTGAAAAACATAAAAATGACTATTACTAAATAATAAAACAAGTATTGGTGAAAATCTGGAAAAATTGGGACACTTTTTCAGTGCTGGTGATAATGTAAATGGTCCAGCCACTATAGCAAACAGTGTCGACTAAAACATTATTCACAACCTACCCGGAACTTGAGAGTTTATGTTTTATTTGGCGAGGATTTTTAGGACTTAGAGCTTGGGAGGCAGCATCTCAAGTAACCCTGAGAGAACTGCTCCGAGGAAGTGAGGGGGCCAGCCAGGATATATAGGAGTTTTGCAACAGAGGGTAGATAGTCTGAATGTCAGAAGATTGTTGTTAATTAAAGAAAACCAGATATCTTAAGGTAAGGAATTTAGCGCTTTTCTGTCTATGGGAAGATGCAAGAGTCTGGGCTCACCGAAATCATTCCTCTGATGTGCACCTCAGCTATCTGGGGCCAGTATCCTGTGTTTTCATATCCTGAGTTTCCTCAGGGTTCACCTTAGGGAGTGACTGCAGTCTGATGGCTGCTAGGTGGCAGGTATTCTCTTCTTTCCTGAGTTCCCTCAGGGCTCACTAGCTCACCGTCGGCGGCGGCTGCAATCACGACTGTGACATCCTTTGTTTACTGATATGGCAGGCAGTATTCCATTTCTCAACAGTATGGCCATTCCTGAAAAAATTAATCCAACAATTCTACTTCTGGGTATATACCCTAAATAATTGAAAACAGGGATTTAAAGAGATATTGGAACACTCATATTCATAGCAGCATTATTCACAATAGCCAAAGGTGGAATCAACCCGTGTCCATCAATGGATTAATGGATAAACAAAATGGGGTGTATATACATAGTGGGAAATTATTCAGCCTTAAAAAAGGAAGGATATTCTGAAATATGCTACAACATAGATGAATCTTGAGGACATAGTGAAATACGTGGGTCACAAAAGGACAAATAAGTGTTTCCACTTACGTGAAGCACCAAGTGTAGTCAAATTCATAGACACAAAGTAAATTGGTGGTTGCCAGGGCCTGAGAGAGGGAGAAAATGCAGAGTTAGTATCTAATGGGGTATGGAGAGATGGATGGTAGTGATTGTAGTACGACAGTGTGAATATATTCATGCCACTGAACACTTTAAATTTGTTTAAAGTGGTAAATACTATGTGTGTGTGTGTGTGTGTGTGTGTGTGTATATATATATATATATATTTTTTTTTTTCCGTACGCGGGCCTCTCACTGTTGTGGTCTCTCCCGTTGCGGAGCACAGGCTCCAGACGCGCAGGCTCAGCGGCCATGGCTCACGGGCCCAGCCACTCCGCAGCATGTGGGATCTTCCCGGACCGGGGCACGAACCCGTGTCCCCTGCCTCGGCAGGCGGACTCCCAACCACTGCGCCACCAGGGAAGCCCAATGCTGTGTATATTTTTACCACAATAAAATAAAGAAGGAATAAAGGCAGTGTTACATACAGGCGAACATTCCAGTGTGACAGAGCCTGAAAATGCACATTGGGTTTGTCCAGGTGTAAGAAGATATTGGGGGACTTCCCTGGTCGTCCAGTGGTTAAGAGTCCTCCTTCCAATGCAGGGGACGTGGGTTTGATCCCTGGTTGGGGAACTAAGATCCCACATGCCGCGGGGCCACTAAGCCCATACGGAACAACGAATAACCCTCACACCACAACTAAGACCCGACGCAGCCAAATAAATAAATATTTTTTTAAAAAGAAGAAGATATTGGGGGCTTTGGCCAGCACCCCACTGTCAGGGGTATGGGGGAGAATAACACACTAGCAGACCATTCCAGCTGAATGGATGAATGAAGTGGAGATAGTAACTGTAGACTCCCCTTTCAGGAATATTTTCCACTTTTTTTTTTAGTAGATTATTTCAATTGGTGATAAGCACTTTTTATTTTTTTAATATTTATTTAAAATATTAAACTTTTTCCTTTATAATTATTAAAACGACCCGTGCCTTTACTAAAATAAAACTATATGCATATTCATGTGCCATATCTAGCTATTATTAGTGTATTTGTTTGCTAGGACTGCCATAACAAAATACTACAGCCTGGATGGACTAACTACAGAAATTTACTTTCTGAAGGTTCTGGAGGCTAGAAGTCCAAGATCAAGGTGCCGATAGGGCCGGGTTCTTCTGAAGCTTCTCTCCTTGGTTTGCAGATGGCCACTCTCTTGCTGCCTAGTCACATGGTTGTTCCTCTGTGCAAGTGCCCCTGGTGTCTCCTTCTTCTTATAAGGACACCAATTGTATTGGATTATGGCCTCATTCTAACAGCCTCATTTTAACTTAATCGCCTATTTAAAGACTTTATCTATGTAGATCAAATAGAAATATGCTACTCTTTCTTAATGCCTGGAAATAGTACGGAGGCAGAAAGGTGGGTGGGGTGGGGTAGGGTGGGGAATGGAGGTGGGGAAGGAAAGTTATAAAAGCTTCAGCTCATACTTAAACCAAACAATATTTTCTGAGTCACGGTGCTTTGCTTAACAATGCTGTGATTACTAGGCTGCTATAGGCACTGACATGGCTGGTAACAAATACAGAGAAAATAAAGTTAAAACACTCAAGTTATTAGCATTTCCACATTTTATCAGTAGTTAAATTAAGAGGGGGTTACTTCTCAGTAACCTAAAAGTCTCTTGGCTGAGGAAGACCCACAGAATATGTCAACCTTTCTGGTGTTTGTTTCACTTCACCTCATATCCCACCCTCTGTGTCTCTCCATGGAACACTCAGTTATGCCCCTGATATGCATGCTTGTTGATTCATGCAAATGGGGCTTCCTTCTCTTATCCACTGTCTGGGGAATACCAGCCTGGTGCCACTTGTCTGCCCTGCTAGACCAAGCATTGTGATGACAGTGATCCTATTTTAGGTGACTTACACAGTACCTGTCACCTGTGAGACACATGGTAGGTATACCACAATCACTGGTCAAGTGTGGATGCTACACCTGTGGAAAGTTTAAACTTCTTTGCATGGTTCTTGTGTGCACAGTAGCAGCTAACAACTACTGAGAGCTCCTTGGTGCCAGGCAGAGTTCTAAGCACTTTACAGAGTTCTAAGATTTTATTTAACGTCTCAGCAGCTCTCTGGTTATTATTACCCCCATTTATAGATGAGGAAATTGAGGCCCATCAGTTATATAATTTCTCCAAGGTCACACAGTTAGGGAGGTGACAGAGCCAGGATGAGAACTTCAGAGTCTGAACGGGGAACCCAACACACATACTATCTACTTTCCTACATAAATGACTGCATTTGTATACTAGCCGTTCAAAGTTAATACCCTCCGGGAATTCCCTGGCGGTCCAATGGTTAGGACTCCGTGCTTTCACTCCCGAGGGTGTGGGTTCAATCCCTGGTTGGGGAACTAAGATCCCGCAAGCCACAAAAAACAAAACAAAAAAATCCCACAAAGTTAATACTCTCCTAATTGTCTTAATGACGCAACAAATACATGTATTTCTGATTTTAATTTTTGGTAGTCGTCACTTTTTCACTTCAAGGAATTGATGATAAATATGTTGAGTTCTTCAATTTCAACAGTAACATTGAGAATAAACTTTGATCTTGTAGAATTTATTTTTACATTTTTTGGCCATGCCACGCGGCATGTGGGATCTTAGTTCCCTGACCAGGGATCAGACCCGGGCCCCTGGCAGTGGAAGCGCAGAGTCTTAACCACTGGACCACCAAGGAAGTCCCTGATCTTGTGGAATTTCAGTAATTGTCCCCGAATGCTGTTCATTATCAATGAAAATGGACAAGAAGTGAAAGAAATGTGAAAGAATCGACATTTTTTTCCTTGCATTTCTGATTCAGTTAGAGCATGTTGCTTTCTTTTGAAACAGGATGTCTCGGGCCGTTCATCCTCCAGTCCCCTGTCCTGTTCAACTTGGTTCGTTAAGAAATGACTCCTTGGAAGCACAGCTTCACGAGTATGTCAAACAGGGGAACTATGTGAAAGTGAAGAAGATTCTTAAGAAAGGTAGGCACCGTATTGAAATGGCAGATGTGACTTGATTCACATCACTGAATAACATCAGAAGGAAAACCAGGTACATCATAAAACTGTGAGTTCTTGGGGAAACTGGAAGTTAAATTTAGAGATGAGATGTTCTTTACCAGTGCAGTCAGATTGTTCAGTAGAGGTCTTAAATTGGTGGAGGCTGTTTTGTTATGTGCTAAGGAACCATAAAGTCTTCCAACCATTAGGCTCCTAAGGGTTTCTCCTCAGGCCCCAGCCACCCACCTTGAATTCTGCCTGATTCCCTTTTCTCCTTCAAATCTACTCTGCCCACTAAGTTTTCTGAGGCCTGTGGTGGAGAGAAGGCCAGTTTTCACAGCTCTCTTCTTCCTTGCTCCTTAGAGGCACTTGGTACTTTTGTTTTCAGGGCGTTTTGGGTTTGTTTCTGTTTTTTGCTGTAGGCTACAGGCACCTCAGCCTGTAGAGCAGACAGAAATAAGAAACATAGCTCAGGCAATCTTTGAAAGAACAAACAAACACAAAAAAACGCACACAAACAAAACCTCTGCTGGTATTTGCCCCTGATCTAGAGATCCAGACCTGCTTTTTCTAAAATAACCAGAAGACCTGTGAGATTCCCCCTCTTCCTCCTTAGTATTAAAGGGAAGGCTTATAAGGCTTCTCTCAGCTGGTTTGTGGAACAGTCAGAGTGACCTAATTTTTCTACAGTGTTTCTCTATTTGCCTCAACAGTATTCCTGAGGACTTCCAGAAAGGTAACACCAGTTTTGTTTTGTTTTTAATGTTTATTTATTTATTTATTTTGCCTGCGCCGGGTCTTAGTTGCAGCATGCGGGCTCTTAGTTGTGGCATGCATGCAGGATCTAGTTCCCTGACCAGAGATTGAACCCGGGCCCCTGCATTGGGAGCGTGGAGTCTTACCCACTGGACCACCAGGGAAGTCCCATAACACCAGTTTTTGTAGGACCCAACTACCCCAAAAATACTTCTCTCAAAAACTTTTCAGATGCTTCTGGGGTCTTCCCTGGCAGTCCAATGGTTAAGACTCCACACTTCCAATGCAGGGGGCACAGGTTCTATCCCTGGTCAGGGGAATAAGATCCCACATGCTGTGCAGTGTGGGCCAAAAAAAAAAGATCTCAAGGATTTCCATGTACCACCCCTAGAATCTATAGATGAAGTGGCTGATGGTGAACTCAATTTATTTGAAAGTTTCTGTTTTCTACCCCCTCAAAGATTTTGCACTTTACCTCATAACACATTCATGTTTTAATATAAAAATTGATGTTCAAGATAGGTATGCTATGACTTCTAGTGTCTGTCTATCCACATCCTCCAGTATCAGAAGCAGAGTTCTAGGACATTTTTTATCTCCTAGACATCTCCTGAATGTTCTGCATCTTCAAATTCTTTTTTTTAAAACTCTTTTTTTTGAGGTACAGTTAATATACAATATTATATAAGTTTCAGGTTACAACATAGTGATTCACAATTTTTAAAAGTTATACTCCACTTATAGTTATCATAAGCTATTGGCTGTATTCTCTGTGTTGTACGATATACCCTTGTAGCTTACTTATTTTATACATTGTAGTTTGTACCTCTTAATCCCCTACCCCTGTTCTGCTCCTCCCCACCTCCTTCTCCCCACTGGTAAGGACTAGTTTGTTCTCTATATCTGTGAGTCTTCTTTGTCAGATTCACTAGTTTGTTTTATTTTTAGCTTCCACATATAAGTGATATCATACAATACTTGTCTTTCTCTGACTTAATGCATCTTCAAATTTTTGACATTAAACTAGAGCAGGGGATGAGGTTGACAGGTATAACTGGATATGAAGCAGGACTTTATCTGTGCCTGGAAATTTCGTCTAAATCCTCAGAGTGAAGAACAAGGGGTGATAAATGCCCCCACAGTCTAAAGCAAGGCTTCTTAGGAGATGGCCAAAATGATCTTGGACCTTCAACTCCATCACCCACGTCAGGCCTATCTAAGAGAAGGTGATGGGGTAGCGGTGGGAGTGTCAGTGGAAAGATTGTTTCAAAGGCATTCACAGGAATAGAATGCTGTGGCTTTTCCCTCTTTCCCAGCCTCAAGCCTAGTAAGAGGCCATTCAGGTGAACCTCATGGAGAGAATTGTGATTTGTGATGCCTACAAGCAGGAGAGTTGGGAGCCTATGGCCCAGCCTGCTGAACAACAGAAACATGCCAGCCCACCCCAGCTGCCACCAAGGTAGCATGAATAGAACCTGGCAAGTTACCTGGAATTTAGGGGTCAGGAGGACTGCCATCTGCCTCCTACCTGGAGCAGTTCTTGATGGCTGGTTGAGCATAAGAGATCAGCTTCTGGAGTAGCCAAACTTTCATCAGTTGTGGGGTAGATGGACTTTATGCAGGGTAGCTGAGCCATCTAAACGGACCTCACCTATGAAGAAAGGAAGAATCCCAACAGAGAGGCTGGAGATGTAGCAAGAAGTCAGCAGAAATGAAAACCAGAACTACACTGAGGTATCATCTCACACTGGTCAGAATGGCTGTCATCAAAAAGTCTACAAACAATAAATGCTGGAGAGGCTGTGGAGAAAACGGAACCCTTCTACACTGTTGGTGAGAATGTAAATTGGTACAACCATTATGAAGAACAGTATGGAGGTTTCTTAAAAAACTAAAAATAGGGCTTCCCTGGTGGCGCAGTGGTTGAGAGTCCGCCTGCCGATGCAGGGGACATGGGTTCGTGCCCCGGTCCGGGAAGATCCCACATGCCGCGGAGCGGCTGGGCCCGTGAGCCATGGCCGTTGAGCCTGCGCGTCTGGAGCCTGTGATCCACAACGGGAGAGGCCACAACAGTGAGAGGCCTGCGTACCGCAAAAAAAAAAAAAATCTAAAAATAGAACTACCATATACCACTCTTAGGCATATATCTGGAGAAAACTCTAATTCAAAAAGATACATGCACCCCAGTGTTCATAGCAGCACTATTTATAATAGCCAGAACATGGAAGCAACCTAAATGTCCATCAACAGATGAATGGATAAAGAAGATGTAGTACTTATAACTGGTGGAATATTACTCAGCCATAACAAAGAATGAATTAATGCCATTTGCATCAACATGGATGGACCTAGAGATTATCATACTAAGTGAAGTAGGTCAGACAGAGAAAGACAAATACCATATGATATCGCTTATATGTGGAATCTTAAAAAATGATAACGAATGAACTTACAAAACAGAAAGAGAGTCACAGACGTAGAAAACAAACTTTTGGTTATCAGTGTGTAAAGGGGATGGGAGGGATAAATTTGGAGATTGGGATTAACATACACACACTACTATATATAAAACAGATAACTAATAAGGACCTACTGTGTAGCATAGGGAACTCTACTCAGTACTCTATAATGACCTATATGGGAAAAGAATCTAAAAAAGAGTGGATATATGTATGTGTATAACTGATTCACTTTGCTGTACAGCAGAAACTAACACAACATTGTAAATCAACTATACTCCAATAAAAATTAAAAAAAAAAAAAGTCAGCAGAAGAGGGCAATGGCCTGCATTAGGGCGGTGTGCAGTAGAATGGAGATACCTGAAGGACCCACTAACCCCTCCCACAAAAGAGCAGGCATTAGGACAAAGCCACAGGCAACAAAGAGCATCAGCTAAATACAAAGGCCTTTGCCGCTTGTCATCTCATTGGTTCTCTCCCTACTTCAGCTCTGGAGTTGTCAGAAACAGCCTTGAGATCAGAGGAGTGGAATAGCAAGGAAGACGTTTTGATTTCAGAAGGACTGGGCAATTTATTACCTGAAATGAGACTGTGCTTTGACTGCCTCAGCGTGACTGAAAGAGCATGCAATCTGCCTGAGGTGCCTCTCAGGAGAGGGGCAGCGAGAACTAACTGACAGAGTGTCCTTGAGGGTAGTAGAGGAGAATTTGTTTCCTGATCGCATCCTGCTTAGTTCATCCCACTCAGAAGACCAGATACTACAGATTATATGAGTTCTAAAACCCAAAGGATGAGTTCCAGAACCTCAGACCAGACTTCATTCATTTTTTTATTACACGTATATTAATTGAGCCTCGGGGTTAGAGCAGCCAAGGAAAGATGTACAGCCCTACCTTCCAGAGAGTATAATCCAGCAGAAGAAACAGACATGAGTCGGTAATTGAAGTCCTGAGAAGGGCAGGAGGCGAAGGAAGCACACAAGGTACATCTCAGCCTCATCTGGGAGGTAATCAAGGGAAAATTCCTAAAGAAAGTGATATTTAGGCTTGGGCCCTAAAGAAGAAACGTTGACAGGAAAGAAGTAAAAGGTAAAAGTTGGAGGCAAGGGAGGTTTAAAGGGATGCAGAGGCCCTGAGGATAGAAAAGAAAAGTGTGTGGATCACTTGAGTTGGAGGAAAAGGCAAAGTGGTGGGAGAGAGTGGTATGGAGGTGAAGCTGGCAAGGTAATCTGAAGCCACACCAGGCCTCGTGGGCTGTTGGAAGGATTTTGGTAATAGGTGCCTCCGTATTTAGGATGGCTACAGCTTCCTGGTGAATCGACCCTATTATCATTGTGAGATGGCCCTTCTTAGCTCTGGTAATACTCGTTGTCTTGAAGTCTACTTCTTCTGCTATACAGCCGCTTCAGACTCCTTATGCTTACCATTTATGGAATATCTTTAGAGTTAACATATGTCTTCTGCAGAGAGCACAGAGTTGGGATTTGTGCTTTAACATCCATTCTGATACTCTCTGCCTTTTAACTGGAGGGTTTAGTCCATTAACATTTTATGTAATTATTGATATGGTTTATTACAAAGAACACAATTCAGGAACAGCCAGATGAAAGAGATTTAGGGCAAGGCATGGTGTGTGTGTGAGTGCTTGGAGCTTCCATGCCCTCTTTGGGTACACCACCCTTCCAGCACTTCAGTCGGTTTACCAACCTGGAAGTTCTCCAAACCTGATCAGTTAGGGTTTTTATGGAGGTTTCATTATTTAGGCAT